AGCCTCCATTCCTGTCCTGGGGAGCCGGGAGGACCAGCCTCCATTCCTGTCCTGGGGAGCCGGGAGGACCAGCCTCCATTCCTGTCCTGGGGAGCTGGGAGGACCAGCCTCCTCCTGGTTTTCCATCTTGATTTCCGCTGTCTGTTCTGTCACCCCTTTCTATGCGTCCCCCTCTCCCCTCTGCTTCTCTCCCCGGCCCGTGACCCTGCAGCGGGGGCCCTTTGGGCCGCAGCGGCCTGGCGGTGTTCGCCCAGTGTCCGCAGCTGCCCGCCAGCCCGAACGAGCACCTGCCTCTTCTTCCTGCCTCCAGGCGCACCTCTCCCCCCGTGAGCGTGCGGGACGCCTACGGCACCTCCTCTCTCAGCAGCAGCAGCAACTCGGGCTCCTGCAAGGGCAGCGACAGCAGCCCCACGCCCAGGTAAACACTCCCCGTGCCCAGCCGGCGATGCACCTGCACCCCGCACCCCGGCTGCGCGGGTGGGGACCAGCCGACTCTGGTTGTGCGACCTCCAGCAGCTCATTCCCCCCAGAGCCTCAGCTCCTTCCCGAGAGAGGGAAGGGTGATGCCCAGCTGCACACTTTGGGACTCCCTGTCCCAAAGACAGGGGCTTACACAAGCTGGGGGTGATGCTTTCAGAACCGGGGCCCAGCGGCAGGCAGCTCCCTGAAGGTTCGGGGACCCTGTCCCGTCTTCCTGCTCTACCGTCCTTGGGGTACAGCTTTTGTCCTCGCCCTTACCAGAGGCTCCTGCACCTCCAGCCATCAGGTCAGCATCGGGGCCAGGAAGGAAGAAGGTAGAAGGGCCACCCCCCACCCCCCCGACAAGAAGCTCATGTTTTCTGAGAAGGGACACTTCCCCAGGAATTCTGTCTTGCCGGCTGGCACTGAGACATGGGACTGGGTGATGGCTGCCAGCCAGGTGGTGCGGGGAGTGCCAGCATTGTCCCCGGTACCCTGCCACCGTGCACAGAATTGGGGTTCTCTTGGGGGGAAAGGCAAGAATAGAGAGCGGCAGGCCACTTGGGCGTCTGCCGTCCTGCTCTCCTCGGGAGGCCACCTGCGCGGTGGTGGAGGTGCGGCAGGTTTGGGAGGCGGAGTGTGTTGCAATGTGGCACATGCTATGTTGTGCGCTCTGGAGAGGTGGGATGGAACCAGAAGAGCAGGCTGGGGAGGCAGGTGAAGGGAAGCTGAGCACTCCATCCTGATTCCCCAGAGGAGCCCGGAGCTCGGGGAGCGCGGGCTGGGCTTTCATACTTCCAGTCCTTGAGTCTTTCCCTTGTCCGTCAAGTGGGGCTAACATCCCGCAGGCTTCGGTGAGTTGATGTCTGCAGGTGGCCCGAACTGGTAGCTGCCATCATGAGGACTTGGGTCCCACATGAGCATCCTGGGCCACCAAGGCTGGCTTGCGGCTCCCACGGCCAGAGCACCTCGTGGGAACGCTGGTCTTGGTGTGAAGTGATGTTCAGATCACGCTGAGGCAGCCGTTCTCAGAGTTTTCCGCCTCGACACACATGATGGGTGACACACACGTGCAGGACCCATGCCCCAGCCTCCTGGCTGGGACCCCATCCTGAGTGCAGGGGTTGTGAGCGGGATGATGCGCTCACATTTTGCAAAGTATACGACTGGCAACTTGAACACTTTCTCATTAGTAGCAGATTTTTGCAGTGCACGTCAGAACTGCAGCACAAGGAACTGTCCCAGCCCTGAGGTTGGGCACTGCCCCCCTGGGAGGGTCTTCTTGCCCATGTGGATGGTGGCCGTTATGGGCGAGCAGCGGGGCCTCGGCTGTGGCCTCAGTGCAAGCAGGTGTTCTGAGGCGGGAACAGCGGAGACCCACGGATTATAGTATATTCTTCTTCTCGGTTATTTATATATTTTTTCCACAAAGATAGAGCTAATGACTAAAAATGTGTGAGTGTGAAATGTTATATTAGAAGAAAACCACTCATGAAAGCAAATGGGAAGAGTGAGAACAGCTTCTTCTCTAATTCTCAACTGTACTAGTTTAACTGGTTTGCCCGGGGCCCGGGGAGGAGCCCCTGCTCACTCACCGCAGCTCCGCGCCCCGCTAGCCCGCATCCTGGCACGGCGGCCCACAGACAGGGCGTCCCCAGCTCCAACCCGCGCCACCCTTCTGCCCCTTGTCACGCAGAAAACAGGCTGGTGTGTGATAGGCCTTGAGTTAAACCTAGGGACCACGGGGTGAGTCCGTAGAGAATCCGCCCCTTTCTCTCCACCTCTAGCCCCACACTCTCTGCAGCGGCTGATGGTTTATGAATACTTTCCCTCCGTAAACATTAGGCAGCTCCCGCGGAACCTTTCAAACTGCCTTCACCGCGGCTGCTTCAGCAAACCTGGCCTGTCTTCAGACCTGTGGGTGTCATCGCCCCTCCCTAAACCCCGGGGCTCCGCGTCCCCTGAAGGAGCAGCATTGGGTGGCCACAGGGCCTCTGGCGGGCGGTGTGAGAGCCTGCCCGAACTGTGAGGCCGAGACCCAGGCAGGCTTCCTGGCACACGCAGCAGCAGGAAGCTGTGGGCTGAGGCGCCTGGGCTGGAGCGTGCTGGAACTGGGTGCTGTCCTTCACTGGGTGCAAGGCCTGGCCCTCCCCCCTCCTCCACTGGGCCGGAGGTCCTCCACTTTGCAGTGCTGAGACCAGGGTGTGCTCACCGCACACACACACACACGTCTGTGCCCCCCCCCAGGCTGGGCAGCATGTGGAGCTGGCTTGCTGCCACCTGAGGGCACAGCTGTGAACAAGGGGTTGCCCAGAGCCGGTGGGTGTTCACACGTGTGTGTGTGTGTGTGTGTGCCCTCAGAGCACGCGTGTGTGCGGGGGCGGGGTGGAAAGCGCCTGAATTTGTGTTGGGCTGCTGTGCTGGTCCTTGTGAGTGTCCCTGAGGGTGGCCACAGGGCGGTGGGGAGGCACGGGCACGGGCGTGTACACACGGAGGTGGGCAGGCACACGTGGACCAGGCGTGTGCGTGGTCGTGCAAGCCCATGTGTACGTGAGGACAGCGAGGAGGGCACCAGAGTGCGTTTGCAGACAGCTGCGCCCGCACGTGTGTCTGCGCTCCCGGTCCCCCCCAGGGCCCAGCAGGCCGGGCAGTAAAGGCTCTCAGCTCTGGGGGTGCGTCCTCCTACACAGGGCTGAGTCCTTACCCCGCCGCCGCAGGCCCTGGGAGAATTACACAGGGAAGGCGTAGCCCCCCCAGCCTCTGGCCCCCACCTCGTTCTCTGGGTTCAGAGACCGGACACCGGAGTTCTGGGACCCCCCCCCAGGACTGAGATGGCAGCATCAGTGGAATGCCCCACATGGTGCCAGGCCCTGCGCTTGCTCTGTCATGCGTCCCCACCCGTAACTAGGGGAGCCCCGGGCTCCCCACTGTGGTCTTCACTCAGAAGAGCTTTAATAAAGCCTGCCTTCCTGAAGGCCTGGATGCTCTCAGGCCCACACGGGCCGCTAGGGGAGGCCTAGCCCGGAGCCATCTGGTGGCCGTGGGACCAGGATGGTGAGGGACATCTTCCCCGCTGACGTGTGTCCCCTTGCAGGCGCTCCATGAAGTACACGCTGTGCAGCGACAACCACGGCGTCAAGCCCCCCACCCCGGAGCAGTACCTGACCCCCCTGCAGCAGAAGGAGGTGTGCATCCGGCACCTGAAGGCCCGGCTGAAGGACACCCAGGACCGGCTGCAGGACCGGTGAGCTGCCATCAGAGGCAGCCCTGGAGACACGCTGCCCTCTCCACACTCAGAGGCCCCAGGGCCCCGGGGCACTTGTGGGAGGAAGGAGTGGCTGAGGGCTTCCCGGCACCCAGCCTGCCCTTTCCCTTCCAGCAAAGGCCCGTAGGAGCCCCTTTCTAGGGCCCCCAGCCATCCCCCTCCTCCCCTCCGCTGCTCTCCCGGCCGGCCCGCAGGTCCTCCCCACACCCATGGCAGTGCTCTCTCAGTTTGAGCCTGGCGGCCCCTTTGGACCACTTCTTGTCCCCTGGCTCCTTTCCAGCTGGAGAGCAGGAGCCCAGGGCATTCTTCCTGGCTCCCTTCCCTGCGGGGCGAGAAACAAGGCCCCGGCCCCTTTGCTTCCGCCCAAGGAGTCACCAGGGGGCTCTTGGCCCACCGGTTCAGGCCCCAGAGGCCTTTCTGCTCATGTACTTACAGACGATGGGAGATCATGAGAAACCTTTCTCGAGCTCCTACTCAGCCCAGGGGCCCCCGGGAGCCCCCGCGACCCCCTCTGAGCTCACTCTCCGGACCTGAGGGCCAATCCTGACCCTCTCGGCTGCTACCTGTCTGGGCTGCCGGCTTCATCTTTATGACCGCAGCTTCAGCGCTGCCCTCTGACTCCTCGCCATCTCCTCTGCATGGTGTCCATTCCAACACGCAGCCGACTGAGTTGCCCCGGGCACGGGGGCCGGGGCAGGCCGACACGATCATGGCTTCTTTGCTCTTTGCTCTTTTTGTAAAACTATGCAACGTGATGCACATGTCACTCACACCCCGTACAGTTCCTCTCTCTTGAGTGTACCACTCAGCGATGTTTCATATAGGCACTGAATCACGCAGCCCTCACCGGTATCCGGTCCCAGAACATTCTCAGCACCCCAGAAAGGAAGGCCATTCCCGGTAGCAGTCATGGCCCGGGCCCCTGGTAACCACTCGTCTTTCTGGATTCGTCTGTTCTGGACACCGCATATAAACGGAAGCATGTAATATGCATGAGCGCGGCTTCCGTGGCCAGAGCTTTGCCGAGCAGCCGATGTGGTTTGGCTCTGCTGTGGTTCTGAACTATGGGAAGTTACAGGTGGCATTCTGTGGCCTCCTCTGTCGAGTTGGCATTTCTATTTTTACTTCCCGTCATCTTCTAGGTGATGCCCTGGGTCTGCCTGGCCACTTGCACTCATGGGCTCGGGAAGCAGACAGCCCGTCTCCTGGCTTCCCTTCTGGGGCTGGCCCAGCGGCTCGGGCGGACCATCTGCCCCGCGTGGTTTGGGCACGCTCCCCTGGCGTGGACGTGCCCCACCTTAAATTCCCGGCCGCTCTCTGCCTGTTAGTCCCGCAGGGACCCGTGGCAGCTCTTTGCCGCACGCGCTCCGCGTGTTCACTTTGATACCCGTCTCCTGCAGTAACCTACCTTCTCCATAAAGAAGTTTCTACACCCTGTGCTTTTGTTTGCTGTGTCCCCACTTCCTGAGATGGCCTTGCCCCCATCCTGCTCCCTGGGCAAACTCATCCTTCAAGGCTCAGTTCAACTGTAATGTCCTAGACAGGGTGGGGAAGCTAGAGCTCCCTGGCCGGGGGTCCCACCAGCTCCAAGGAGAGAGGGGCAGGGCCCAGCCCCACGGAGCATGCCTAGTCCCTTCCTCCAAGCAGGTTCTCCCTCCCGGCACTTGGCGTCAGCGTGGCAGGTTTCCCTAGAATGAACCCCAGTAAGGGCCCCCATGCCCAGTGGTCCATCCATCATGGCCACTCTGAGCGACTCTGGTTCCCCGCTGCCATCACAGGGCTGTGCCGGGTAGGCGGGCCAGTCCGCCCCTTCCCAGATAATGGCATTGCTGACCTTGCCAGCCACCACAGCCCCTCAGCCCGGACCCCTCGACGTTCCGCAGAGCACACTTCCTGGCCTCATTTCCTGAACTGACCCTCCCATCTGACTCCGCAGAGCACACGGTGCTTGATCGGGGATAGTCCCTCTGCTGGGCTCCTCACCCTCAGAGTGACGGTCAGCCCTGCATGCATTGCGTTTCCGTGAACATGGGGCATGTGGGCCGCGTGGCTGGGGGGGGGGCCCCGGGGGGGGGGCCCCCCGGCCCCCCCCCCCCCCCGCAAGACCTGCCGGCTCGGGAGTGGCTTTCCTCCACCCTCATGGCCTTCACCGCATCCTGCCCCATCTCATGCTGCCTTTTCTACCAGACTTGATAGGATGTTCTTCTAACTCGCCTCCCTCCGCTGCACCCCGGATTCGTCTGTGACTTGGGGTGCCTGTGTCTGCTTTGCCTGGCGCTGGCCTCTTCTCTCGGGAACGGCCTGTGCCTTCTTGTTCATCCTTTGGGCCCATCCCCTTCACAGTAGATACAAAGCAGAGATGACCAGTGTGGATAAAACAGAGCCACCTGTGGTCACCGTTTTCCTCTGTCGCACCCACCACGTTTCATCCCCCGCACTGAGGGGAGGCGTGAGGCCGGCAGCCTCCCCCCGCCCCACATAGTGGCAGTAAGTTCCACAGCAAAACAGGGCAGCCCGCTGCCTCTCCCCCGGGGGCTCCGGCGGGGGACCCCCGAGGACAGTCTGCACCACCGGCTTTTGTAGGGGCAGATATTTTACGTTTAGTTCTTATTGTCTTCGGTTAAGATTTTGAAAAATAGATGTGTTTGGTTTTTATAGCAGTAGGCATTTATTTATACACTGAGCATCTTTCTTGTTTAACGTCTCCTGTAGGTAATGGATTTAAGTGGGGACAGTCGTCTGCATTTCAGCCTCCAGGGCTGAGGATGCAGAGGGGCCTAGACATTTCTTCTCCCCCCACCCTGACCCCGGGGGCTGGGGGGAGGAGGCCCCTTGGCTGCCCCCTCACCCCCTCTGGAGTGAGAAGGAGGCACTGAGTCAGGGCTTTTTTGTCTGGCTCCTGGCCGGGAAGCACACAGGCCCTCTGTCCTGGGTGAGAGCCCCTCCCTGCTTATCCTTGGTGGTGGTGACAGGCCGGGCAGCGAGCATGTGTGTCTCCTCTGCTCCCAGGGACACCGAGATCGATGACCTGAAGACACAGCTGTCACGCATGCAGGAGGACTGGATCGAGGAGGAGTGCCACCGCGTGGAGGCCCAGCTGGCCCTGAAGGAGGCGCGCAAGGAGATCAAGCAGCTCAAGCAGGTCATCGACACAGTCAAGAACAACCTGATTGATAAGGACAAGGGGCTGCAGAAGTACTTCGTGGACATCAACATCCAGAACAAGAAGCTGGAGACGCTGCTACACAGCATGGAAGTGGCCCAGAACGGCACGGCCAAGGAGGACGGCACCGGGGAGTCGGCTGGCGGGTCCCCTGCCCGCTCCCTCACCCGCAGCTCCACCTACACCAAGCTGAGTGACCCCGCCGTCTGCGGCGACCGCCCCCCCAGCGACCACCCCGGGGCCTCTGCCGAGGACGGGGCTGACAGTGGCTTTGCGGGGCTGACCGAGGACACGCTGAGCCGGACGGACGCGCTGGAGGCCAGCAGCCTGCTGTCATCGGGGGTGGACTGCGGCCCCGAGGAGGGCTCGCTGCACAGCAGCTTCGGCCTGGGCCCCCGCTTCCCTGCCAGCAACACCTACGAGAAGCTGCTGTGCGGCCTGGAGGCTGGGGTGCAGGCCAGCTGCATGCAGGAGCGCGCCATCCAGACGGACTTCGCGCAGTACCAGCCGGACCTGGACGCCATCCTGGAGAAAGTGACCCAGGCCCAGGTCTGCGGGGCAGTCCCTGAATTGGGGGTCGGGGATCCAGAGCTGGAGCCCCATCCCCCGGGGCCCAAAGACCCCAACTCCGCCGTGGTGGTGACGGTGGGTGACGAGCTGGAGGCCCCGGAGCCCATCACCCGAGGGCCGAGCGCGCACCGGCCGGGTGCCAACTGCAGTCCCGGCCCGTCGGTGAGCGTGGCGTGCCCGCTGGAAGAGGAGGAGGCGGCCGCCGCCGAGAAGGAGCCCATGAGCTACTGGAGCCGCCACTACATCGTGGATCTGCTGGCCGTGGTGGTGCCGGCCGTGCCCACGGTGGCCTGGCTCTGCCGCTCGCAGCGGCGCCAGGGCCAGCCGGTTTACAACATCAGCTCGCTGCTGCGGGGCTGCTGCACTGTGGCCCTGCACTCCATCCGCAGGGCCAGCTGCCGCTCGCTGAGCCCGCACGGCCCGAGCGCCGCGGCCGGCAGCTCCCAGCTCTGAGCGCGGCCTGACCGCTCTCCCTCCCGCTCGTGCCCCGGGGGCCTCATCTTACTTCAGTTTGGGGTTTGGGAGTGGCTTTTTCGGGACGTGAACAGTGTCAGGGGGCTGGGAGTCGGGGTTGGGGGAAGGCACCCCCAAACTGTGACAGGACAAGGGGAGAGAGACCAAAGGCAGGGAGGCACGCCGAAGGGACGCACTGCAGAGAGGGGAGGTGGGGAGGTCCCCCCACCCGGCCCTGTCCACCTGGACCTCCGCACGGGGCTTCAGCCCACCGCCCCCTCCCCAAAGTCTCGGGTGTGTCGATGTGGGGAGGCGGGGCCTCAGGTGCCCGCGGGAGCCTCCCCGCCCCCACCACCGTGTCCCCCACCCCCCGTGTCCCGATCCGGCCCGCCCACGCCTCCTCTCCAGCCGCCCCCTGCCCTCAGTCCAAGCTTCTGGGCCAGTATTACCTCCTCGCCCAGAGTACAGGCCACCAGCCCAGGACTCGGAGCCGGGGTCTGCAATCCCTGGGCCCCGGCTGCAGTTCCAGCGTCTTCCGGCTGCTCCCCGCTGTGGGATTCGGAAGCCTAGTCCGGCCATAGGCGCGGGCCGGAGGAAAGACGGGGCGATGTTGGGCACGAGGCGGCAGAGCGCAGCGTGGTTTCTGTGTCTGTTCGTCCTGGACCTTCCCCAGGCTCCGCTTCCCTCCCTGCACGTCTGGCTGTGTCAGATCCTTCTTCCCGTGAGAGCTGAGCCCGACAGGCTAGTGCTGGGGCTGGAGCCTCTGCGGGCCCCGGAGGAGGCGGCGGCTGGCAGCTGGGGTGGGGGGTGCCTCCTCCAGCCCTTCTGAGACAAGGTCCTGCAGTCGGGGAGGCGGGGCTGGACTCGGCAATCCTCAGCTGCTTTGAGAAGCCAGACGACTGCCCCTGGAGCTCACCCCAAGTTTCTCTGGGGGGCCTCGGGCCCAACTTCTGCTTTGCACTATGTTCACTTTGGGGCTTGGCTCTCATGCACCCCAGCATCTCCACTGAGGGGCTGCTTGCATTCTAGGGTGAGGGCTCCTAGACTTAGACCTACCTGCCCCTGGAGGGACTCCCAGCAGGACGGATGGCACGATGGGATACTGAAGCCACGATGTTCCTCCCGGCCAAAGCAGGGTGCCCCGGGTTGTCTCAGGCAGGGACGGGGCAGGGCAGGTGGGAGCCCTGCGGCCTCCCTGCTCACAGCCTGAGGCCAGGCGGCCTGGGACCTTCACTGTCCCCCCTCCTTCCCTGGGACCCCATGTGGTCCTCCAGCAAAGCTGCTGACGTTTTACCACCACTATTATTTGACAAAATAAACGCACTCCTTCTCCCTTGTGGGGCTTACACCCGTCTGGCGGCCCCTCCCACTCTTCAGAGGTTAGGCCCCACATCTGTGGGGGGGTTGGTGGGACCCCGTGTTTCACTCATCCCTCTGGCCCCGGGGCCACTCTGGTTCTCTGCCCAGGTTGCTCGCCCACCCCCGCTGCTCCGACAGCCAGTTGCTGCCTCACTTAGGGGCCCCGCCTTTCCTCTCTGCGTCCTCCACTCAAGGGGGGGGGGCACCTGCATGCACTGGGAGTGGACAGCCAGCTCAGCCATGGGGGCGACAGCCCCCTCTGCCACACGCTTTGTGCCTCCAAAGCTCCCCCCACCGGTTGGGGCCTCAGACAGACCAGCCATCCTTTGTGGAGCAACCCCCCAGCCGAACCACACCCGAACTCCTGGGGCCTGGCTAGGGCTGCCCCACAGACGCTGGGGTCGTGACACGGAGGGGCAGTGGACAAAGCCAAGCCGGGCCTGGCCGTGGACCCAGCCTCCTGTGCCGTGTACTCACGAAGCTGCGCGTAGTGTCTCCTTAGAAGTAGCCCAAGCTTTGCCGAGAAAATAAATGTATGACTCTATTTGACAACATGAAATCTATGTATTTTTCACACTGGAATTCAGTCGAGCCGCGCAGCCCCTCTGCTCCTGTGTCTTGCTATCTGTGGCCTTCCTGTCGTGTCTTGTGTTTCGGTGGACGTGGTCGGGGCCGTAGCCGCTCGGCCCCGCCGGAGGACGCCCTGCTGAAGGGCCGCGCCCGAGGTGAGTGGGGCCGCGGCTCTGGGTTGAGGGGCCCTCGCCCACAGCGTCGAGAGCCTTCTCTCTTGGGGCCTTCAACGGGCTTTTCCTCCTCGGGTCAGTGGAGGCCGTGGCTCTGCGCCCGGGCCCGGGACGGACCCCGAGAGCACGCGGGCAGGCGGCCCTGGCCCGGGCCCTGGTGCGCACGCGCGCGCGTGCTCAGTAGCCGCATCTATGCAAGGGGGGGCAGCGCTGCGCGCGCAGCTCCAAACGCTGGGGGCACAGCGGCCTGCTGGCCGGCCCTGGCACCGCGGGGCACGGAGTGTGGGGCAGGAGGCCGAGGCCAGGGCCGGGGCGGGGGGGCCGCCAGCGCAGTGCTCCTCCTCCAAAGCTCCCCCTTTACCGTCTTGCTTAATACCTCCTCCTGCTGGGCCATGGCCTTGCCCTTCTGCCCTCGGCTCCTAACGCAGAAATCCTCGGGGCGGGGGGGGGGGGGAGCTCCTTGCCACCCTGGCCTCCGGCTGGAGCTGATTCAATCCTAAAGGACATTTCCCCTACTGACCACCTCCTGAACTGCTGGTCCCTTGGAGCCCAGCGGCCAGAAGTGGCTTCTGTTAGTTGGAGGGCCTGGGTCTGGGCCTCCCTGCTGCTCCTCTGCTCCGGGCTCAGGCAGGAATCAGAGCCGGGGCTGGGACTCTGCACCGAGAGCTGGCCTCCAGCGGAGTTTATTCCGGGCATCTCCCAAGGGGATAACTTAGCTTTTCACTGAACAGCCTTCCCAGGCATCGCTAGCACCAGGGTATCTGACAGCGCTTGGGGAGGGGCGGGCATCCACGAAGTTCTGGGACAAGGGTCTACCGAGGGTCTGAGCCCAGGGAACTCAGGACCTCCTTCTCTGACCTAGAGGGCCAGTACCAAGAAGTCACAGCATACTCTCCCATTGGGCCATCCCCTCAATGGAGAATTCAGGGGATACGGGAAGGGGGAAGGTGGGGAGGGTCTCCATTTTGTCTCCTTTGTCCTTCTGTTCAGACAGAGTTGTACCCACAGCAGACAGCTCTGAATTAAAGCATGAAAACACAGCAAGACCCTTGGCCTCTTTTCTTTATATCGTGTTTCCCCTCCACCCCGAGGAGTGAGGCAGGGGGCTCAAACCATCCCTGCCAAGCTGGGAGGCACAGTGAACACACAGGGAAGGGCTGAGGGGAAAGAGATCCTTTCTGAGGTTGCGGGAACCAGAGAGCCACATGCTGGCTCAGTGCTGCCATGCGCCTGTCCCAGCAGCTGAGGGTCACTCCCCTCCTGGGTCACACAAAGGATCTAGGATCTAGAAGGGCCTGCCCCAGCCCCCCACCGAGGGTTAGCCCTGCTGGGGCCTGTAAGCACACCGCATCCCCTCCGGCACCCCTAAAGTGGACCTCATATCTGCTCTGCAGATGCAGAAGCAGGTTAAGCAGGGGTGCTCTGAAACCAGTGTCCCTCCTCCAGAGTCCCTCATGGCTCCCCCTCTCCAGTCACCCCGGCAGGCAGCACGTGATGGTGGCAGAGCCAAATCTCTGCTCTCAGAGACCGTGTGTCACCACTGCTTAGAAGAAAACCAGGCCTGGCATGTCATGGGACCAAGGATTCTGGAATTTTCAATTACTTTTGAAGAAGGGCTTGTATTTAAAAGCAAATCTTTATTCAAAAGAAGTGAAGGATTGTAACTATGTGCAGTTTGTGACACACAGCCCGCAAGGGGAAAAGAAAAAATTCTCACAAAGAACGAAGTCGTGTTCTCTCAAAACGGGAAAGTTTTTCTGGTAGAGGCAGCAAAAATCTTGCAAGGGACCCAGCTGCAACTTTAAGAAGCATTTGGCCGGCTTGCCTACGTGCCCCGCATTTCAACCCATTTCAACCGCACAGAGAGTCACTGCCTGTGGGCCCTCGTGCATCTCCAAGTCTGAGGCTCCGAGTCTGAGGCTCCGAGGAGGTCTGCGTGCGCCCCCTCGGGACAGCCCTGCCCCAGGCAGCCAGCCTCCCCCCACACCTGTCCTCCGACGACTCTGCCCTTTCCTGCAGGAGGGTGGGAGAGTGGGCCGGCTGAGCGGCCCTGCTCTGGCTTCATACATCTGGGATCGAGTGGTCCATGGCGTGGTGGAGCAGGGTCGGGGACAACCTAGATACAGGAACAAGGACAGTCGCCAAAACTGGCAGCAGGTTCTCCTCCCTACTAGCCGGCACATCCCCAGGGGGCCTTCATGTCCACTTCTAAGACTTTCAGGGCTCCCACTGGGAGCCACCAGCCACCGGCCCCTGGGAAGGGAGGGCAGGGGAGGGAGGAGGCTGGTTTGGTGGGAGGCGGGGAGGTGAGGGGGAAGGCAGGAGGGGGGCAGCCTTACTTTTTGACCATGTGCTCGTAGATCACAGTGGGGATGACGGTCAAGGTGACAACGTTCCCGGCCATGGCCAGAATCTCTGTGACTTCTTTGTCCTGGAGAGGAGGTGAGTGAGCGGTCACCCTGGGGCCAGGGGTGACTCTGAGGCACCTTTGCGGGGTGGGGGGGGCGGCGCTCAGCATGGCCCCCTGCTAGAGGACCCTGCTGCCATCAGGTGGGGGTCTCAGGCAGAAACCTGGGTGCAGCCTTGCTTGAGCAAGAGCATAAGTCCCCTGACCTGAGGATCTCAGCAGTAAGAGCGAGCACGCCCCTCCCCACCCTACCCCTGAAGGCCTGTCTGTGGGAGTCAGTCACCCTCAGGCTCTGGCCCCAAAGCCCAGGGAAAATTACCATGCAGTGGGGGCCATCAGGTGCAGCCACCCACCCACGGTGCTCCTGTTGGCCTCCAGCCCAGCAGGGCCCTTCTGGGCCCTCTTCCTCTTACACCTTGCTGCCCAGTAGAGAGGAAGGTCTGTGGATGCCACTCAGACCAGGGAGAGAACAAGAAAGGTCAAGGCTCTACGCAAACTGAGCCAAATAGACCAAACTCTGAGGCATGGCCACACAAGAGCTTCTGGCCCTTACTCAGAGACTAGGACTGTTCACATATATCTAACTTGCTTATGCACTCAGTTGTTGCGGGACAAGTGGCAAAGACATGCTAGATGGGCCTAGTGACAGCCACAGGGTGGAAATGGGTCCGCTTTCAGGAGACAAACCATCTCAAAAAGCACAGCTATGTGGGGCCATTCAGGAAAGGGAGAGCCCCTGTCCTCAGAGCCTCGGAGCACCACGGTTTGCCAGGATAAAGGACAAGTTCATCACGATGCCCCGAGCCTTCGGGGAGGAAGAGAGAATCTGCAGCACATTGTAGCACGACTGCTCTCTGGAAGAGTTAAGATCAAAGAACTGGAATGCTTTGAAAGGAGTGGATTTGCTAGTATCCAGAGAGAGACAGTGACTCAGAATCCATACTGGCGGAGTCAACTGTTTAGGGATAAAGGGCTCCCTTTGGATGGTCATGCCTGAGCCCTGGGTGGGGGGAGAAACACAGTGGAAGGGATCTTAGACACCCATCAGGAAGAACTTCCTGATCACAATGCTCACGAGCCCCCAGAGCAAGCCTCCAACGAAGGTGGGGAGACTGCTGAGCACGGGAAGCAGATACGGGGCAGGAATGGCTTGGTGATGGCCCTCAAGAGGGGTGGAGAAGTGGCTTCGAAGCCTGTGCTGGCTTCGAGATGCCACTGACCAGGCCGCGTCGGTCAGGGGAGCCCTGTTCTCAGTCCTGGCGGCAGCGAGTCAGGATCAAACCACTTTCACCTGTTCGGGGACCAAAAGCCACATGACTCATCATCCCTGGTGCCTGAAAGCGCCCACCCCTCGGTCAGCGTCCACTAGACCCTGGACCCCTTGTTCTTTCTTGCTTTTTAAAAGTAAAACTCACCACACACACACACACACACACACACACACACCCTCAAAAGATGAACAGAGGTCAGAAGTGTGTTTCTGAGCAGGAATTTTCTAAAATACTCCATTACGGACTGTGAGCCAGCATGCAGACAGAAGCGCCGTGCTGAGGAGGGAGGTGTCCACGCAGTCAGCTGCCCCTCCCCCGGCGCTCTGTCCTGCCGCCCACCCTCACCCCCTCCTCGCCTCTTGTCTGGCCTCCACGCGTTGGTGACAGTAGCTCATATTTACTGAGCACTTACCACGGGCTTTGGCACTGTGCTCAGAGCTCTACCTACCTCATCTTACTGAGCCCCCACAGCAACTGGAGGATGAGGGACCTGAGGCTTGGGTGGGGACAGCAGCTCGCCTGCAGACATGAACCTTCCGTCCACCCAACCAGCTCTCAGCCGCTGCAGCCCCTGGGGCCAGGACACAGCCGCTGGCCTACCTTCAGCCCGATGACGTTCTGCCCGTTCACCTCGCACACGGCATGGTTGGTGAGGAGCCCATTGCGGGCCGCAGAACTCCCTTTGACCACAGAGATGACCTTCCCCTTCTTGATGACAAAGCCGATGTGGCCCATGCTGTCCTTGTGCATGGTGACGGTCCGCTGGAAGGGCCTGGCGGGGAGAGACAGTGAGCTGGGCCTGGGATGTGGCTGGGGCCAGACAGGGAGGCTCTGGGGGCCTGGCTACCCACCTGTCCCGAGCAACCATGACGATCTTCTCCACCGATGCTCTCTTCAGCACCCGGTGGGCTCTGTCCGTGCTCCACCCGGCACAGTCACGCCCGTCAATCTGCAGGATCTGATCCCCGAAGCGCAGCCCCACGAGAGACGCAGGGCTGTTGGCCTTCACCAGCTGCACGAAGAGCCCCTGGAGGAGGAAGGGCCCCGCCATCAGCTCCACAGCCCACTCTGAGCCCAGGTCCCTCCTGTGGCTGTGCTCCTGATCATCTAGGAGCTATAGCTCTGTGTGGGCAGGACAGCGGTTACCCCATTTTCCTGGGGAGGAAACACTCCAGGCCACATAGCCAGGGGGCAGCTGAATCAGGCTTTCAACCCTGGCTAGAGGCTGCACCCCCAGCCTCCGGACTGCCGGGCTTCTTACAATGGCATTGGCGCCCCTGGCTTCCACTGTCTACAGACAGCTGCCTGGAAGCCAGATCCCTCTGATGGAGAGGAGGGGGAAGGGAGGCTCTGAGTAGCTGGAGCCCAGGAAGGGTAAGTGGATGGTCCCTATTGCTGGAACCCAGCACCAGCCCTGAGGACCTGGGGGAGGGAGATTGAGAGGAAGAGCCTGGGCTTGCGGTGGGGTAGGCCTCGGCTCACCTGCCTGCTCTGCACCTTCCTTACTGTGGACAGGGCCTGCACTGCCCCCCTCCCAGGCTGGTGGGAGATGTGTGTGGGAAATGCCCCCCACTCTCCTGCCCAGCCCCCAGCCCTACCTGGTCAATGGCCTTTAGCCGCAGCCCAGTCTTGCCATGCTCATCCTTGCACAGGTGGATCTCACGCACCCCGGGCTTGATCTCCGCACGCCGTGTGCCAAGGCTGTTCCCAGACAGTGGTGCCACCAGCTGGCCCGGCGAGGAGCCAGAGCCCACCGTCTGCAGACACCAGGGTGGGGTCAGCTGGCCCCTGGGGCCTCGTAAGGATGAAGAAAGAAGGATGCAGTGGTCCCTGGGCCCTATCCCATCCGCAGACCACACTCTTCTCTGCAGGGGCTGCTAGGGGACATGGCTCCCTGAAGCCACTGGGGGGGCATCAAAGTCTACGTCCCTGAAAAACAGCTAGGAATATGAGGAGAGACGAGAGAGTATGGGTATACAGAAAAGGGACCCCATTTTGCAAGGCACATTGGTATCAGAAGACCCCTTTGAAATCCAACTAAAAATAAAATTTTGCAGCAAATAGGGAGCAATTAGGGGGAAAAAGGACTTGATTTAATTTTTGTCTTGAAAAGAATGTAAGCAAAAAGTATAAAAATGAATGCTTTCCCCCTAAAGTCCAGAACAAGTTAGGATGTCACTCTCACCACTACTATTAAATATGGTACTAGAATAACTAGCCAGAGCAATAAGGCAAGAAAAGAAAAGAAAAGAAAAGAAAAGAAAAGAAAAGAAGAAAAGAAAAGAAAAGAAAAAAGAAAGAAAAGAAAAGGCATACAGACGGGAAAAGAAATATTTGCCAATGATATGATGATCTACTAGGAAATTCCCGGGAATCTACAAATAAACTCCTAAAACTATAAGTGAGTTCAGCAAGGTCACAGGATACAGGATCAACACACAAAAATCAACTGTACTTTTTATACATGAACAGCATGCACATGGAAACTGAAATTAAAAGTACACTACCAACTATCATCACTCAAAAATAAGAAATAGGAGTAGAGCTAACAAAACATATGTAGGAATTATATACTGAAAACAAAAACAAAAAATGACTGATAAAAAGATATCAAAGGAGATCTAAATAAATGGAAAGGGGGGCGCCGGGTGGCTCAGTCGTTAAGCATCTGCCTTTGGCTCAGGTAGCGATCCCAGGGTCCTGGGATCGAGCCCTGCATTGGGCTCCCTCCTCGGCGGGAAGCCTGCTTCTCCCTTTCCCACTCCCCCTGCTTGTGTTCCCTCTCTTGCTGTGTCTCTCTCTGTCAAATAAATAAATAAAATCTTTTTTAAAAAAAATGGAAAGGTATTTTCTATTCATGGATTAGAAGAACATAGTAAAGCTGTCAATTGTCCCCAAATTGATATAAAGATTTAATGCAATTTCTATCAAAATCTTTACAAAATGTTTTGTAGATATAGGCAAGGTTAATCTAAACTCTATATGAAAAGACAAAGGAAGTAGGATAGCTAAACCTATTTTGACAAAAAGAATAAAGCAGGAGGAATCACTCCACCAAATGTCAAGACTTACTATTTAGCTACAGTTTGGTAACAGTGGAGAGACAGACACATGGATCAATGAAACAGGACAAAGACTTGAAAAATAGCCTCACATAAGTAGGGCCAACTGCTTTTTAACAGAGGTGCCAGAGCAGTTCAATGGACAAGAAATAGTCTTTTTAACAAAGGCGATAGGAGCAGTTGAACCATAGACAAAAATATGAACTTTGACCTAAGCTTCACACCTTATACAAAAATTAACTCAAGTTTCATCATAAATTTAAATGTAAAACATGGGGCGCCTGGGTGGCTCAGTCAGTTAAGCATCTGACTCTTGGTTTCAGCTCATGTCATGATCTTAGGGTCCTGGGATCGAGCCCCACAATGGACTCTGCGCTCACAGCTGGAAATTATCTCCCTCTCCCTAGGTTCCTCCCCCTGCCTGCGCACGCTCTCTCTCTCTCAAATAAATAAATAAATACAATCTTTTTTAAAAATGTAAAACATAGGTTTTAGATAAAAATAAGGGAGAAAATCTTCAGGATTTCGGGCTTGGTGGAAATGTCTTCAGACAGGCCAGCAAAGCCTGATCCACAAAAAATAGAAAAAAAAAAAAAAAGATCCATAAATTGGAACCTCATCAAAATTAAAAACTTTTGCTCTGCCAGAGATCCTTTTAATAAGTTGAAAAAAGAAGCTACACTTGGGAGAAAATTTTTACAAAAGACCTGACAAAGGACTCTAGAATAAAGAACTCTCAAAACTTGACTTAAAAAAACCAAACTATCCATTGAGAAAATGAACAAAACATATGAAGAGCATTTTACTGAAAAGAATTTACAGCTGGTAAATAGCACATGACAAGACGCTGAACATCACTAGCCAGTGGGGAAATGCAAACTGAGACCGTGAAGAGACATCACTACACACTTATTGTGACGGCTAACATTAGTGAGAAGCTGGTGAGGATGGGAAGAAACTGGAGCGGCACGTTTTGCCGGCAGGAAAATAAAATGGTAGAGCCACTCTTAAAATAGTTTGGCAGTATCTTTTAAAAATTTAAACATGCATTTATCATATAACCTAGCAACTGCACTCCTGGACATTTATCCCAGAGAAATGAAAACTTATGTCCGTACAAAAAACTGTACACAAATATCCATAATAACTTAGTTTGTAATAGCCCCAAACTGGAACAACGAAAACGACCCTCAGTGGGTTGAACAAACCTCGGTACATCCATACCATGGAATACTACACAGCAACACAACGGGATGAACTAGGGGAGGGGGTGGGAGGTGGGGGTAATGGGATGGGGATTAAGCATACACTTGTTGCGATGAGCACCAGGTGATGTATAGAACTGCTGAATCACTATATTGTACTGAACTGATACAACACTGTAGGTTAACTATAGTGGAATTAAAATAAAATGAAATAAAAACAAACAAATAAATAAATAAAATGGGACGAGCTATTAATAGAGTGAACAACCTGGAAAAATTTCAAGGACATTATGCTGAGTGGAAAAAGCCAATCTGAAAACACGTAGATAACATTCTGAAACAAAATTATCGAGGCAGAAAACAGACTAGTGGTGGCCAGGGGGTTAGGGAAGGTCAGGGGGAGAGGGTGGGCATGGTTCCGAAGGGCCAGCCTGAGGGAGACCTCTGTGGTGATGAACTCGTCCGTGCCTTGGTTACACTGGCACCTACATGGGTCTGTCCATACAGGTGACAAAGTGACACGGAACTACAGACATTCACTGGACCAAGGCAAAATGCTTGCTTTCCTTACCCTGCAGTTATGCAGCCACCACCCATAGGACAACTGGGAAAACTGGGTGGAGGGTACAATCTTCTGTACCCTTCTCTGTACTATCTTTGGGACTTCCCAGCAATCTATGATCATTTAAAAATAAAAAGCTAAACATAAAAATTTTTAATTATAAAAATGAATTCATCTGTCATATTTTTACCAATGTTGAGGTAAAATGCACTCACGTCCTCACTATTGGAACAAAGAGGAATTCAGTCAAGGGCTTACAGGTGAGGTGCATACCACATGACTTTCTTGGCTTCTTGTTTGTATTTCACAGCATGACTATGGCGGGGGGCAATGTGGAACAGCACCCCAGGGCCCCACGCATCCCCATCCTGGCCGACTTTCTCCTGTGAGACCCTCATTTGCCAGTGGCTAAGGCAGTTCTCATCCTCACCCCCCTCACTTCATAAGACCCTGCAGCCTCAGCAAGACCTGCAGCTGGGCCCTGCCACCAATTTTCACCCACGTGGGGACAGGATGGCAGACAAGCCCACTGACCAACGGCCCACAGGGATGCTGGAGCCCACTGGCAGGGGGTATGAGTGGGGACTGGTCTCTAAATGAAAATATTTTGAGGATGGAACATTTCTGTGTCATGATTTCCCTTGCTCCCCAAAACCATGGAAAACAGGAATCAAGCAAGCATTGCTGCTTCATCTGGGGACCAGAGCTGGGTGACAAGCTGCTCCCCGTCTCGGCTCTGCCATCCATGCAAAGCTCTCAAGGCACAGGCAGCTCCTTCATTAGAAGCCTCCAGGCTCAAGATGTCCATCAACAGATGAATGGATAAAGATGTCATATATATATATAAATATATATATATATGTGTGTGTGTGTGT